GGTTCGTGTGCTCCTCGGTGCCGGCGGGCTCCGAGCCGGGGGGGAACCCCCCCAGGGACAGGGCCGGGGAGCTCTCGGAGCAGTCGATCTGCAGCGGGGTCTGCAGGCCCAGCGCCAAGGAACTCGACTCCGAAGGCTCCCTCCTGACCCACTGCTCGTCTCTGCTCAGCAAACCCTTGGAAGGCGACAGGTGCGGGCACGACATGTGGCACCTGTGCTTCTCCTTGTGTTTGTACCTCTCTCCCACGGCCTCCTTCCCAAACCTGTAGCGCTTCAAGGACTCCAGAACCGTTCTGGAGGAGCTGTTGGCCGTGATAGTGTCCATGGAAACCTGCGGCTGCTCCGAGGAACGGTGCTCCCGGTGCTTGTGGCGGTGCCTGTGCTTGTGCTCCAGCATCCAGCCGTAGGCCATCTCGGGTGGAACGCTGGGGTAGGTGCTCATGGACAGCAGGGGGGTCCTGCTCGTGGTGAGGAAAGCTTCCTGGCGCAAGAGTTTATGCTTCTTCTTGTGGTATTTGGTGGGGTTGAGAAGCAAGTGGCCTGTATGCATGTAGGAAGGTGGCGGCAGGGGGGTGGTGAAAGAAGGGGAGGGTGGAGGAGGGTAAAGAGTCGGAGGGTACCTTCCATAATAACCTAATCCTATGGGAGCAGCTGCCAGGGGGGACGGGGAGTAAGGCATGCCATAGGAGGGGTAGAACCCGGTGCTGGAGAGGGGAAAGCTGAGGCTATGCATGAAGGGCATTTCTGCCATAGCTTCCCGCATTTTTGGAGGCCTGCCTCTCTTTTTCTTTAAATCAGGTTTCCTAATGTAGTGCAAAGGATCTAAAGGAAAAGTAGGGTGGGTGTAGAAACTGTTGAAGTTTATTCTAAAAATGGTGGGCAGCAAATCCCGGGGTATAAAATGGTGACTCCGGTGGGTTATCCGAATTTCACTTAACCGGCTGATTAACTCCTCCAACTCGGCGAGGAAATCGGGGTCCTGCCTCCCCCGGAGCTGGGGGTACTTCTTTTTCCTTTTCCTCTTCTGCCTCTTCATCTTGTCGTAGCTGAGGTAATCGTGGCTGCGGCGCTTGCACTTGTGCTTGTGCTTCTCCTTCAGGTTGCCGAGCACGGTGGAGGTCTCGGGCGGGAGCAGGGACACGTGGTCGAAGGAGTGCCTCTTCTTCTTCTGCCCGCAGAACTTCTCCGCCCGGTCCGAGGTGCTGTTGTTGTCCGTCCCGATGCCGCTGTCGCTGGGGATGGTCTCGTCGCTGTGGGACTCGCTCACGGGGGACGGCGTGGCCTCTTTGAGCGAGGTCAGCTCGCTCAGGTGGGAGGGCGAGTTGGGCAGCAGCGTGGGCGGCGACAGCCTCCTCCTGCCCTTGGCCGCCTTCTTCATGGCCAGGGTCTGCACCACGCCGCCCTGCCGCGAGTGGAGGTGCAGGTAGGGCACGGGGCTGGGCTCGATGAACCCCGCGTCGCTGCTCACCGGGCTCTGCCCCCCGCTCACGGCCGACGATTGGGAGCAAACCGGAGACGGGAGCACCTCCGAGGGGTTCCCCGCGGGAGGCAGCAGGTGGGGCAGGACCTGGCCCAGGGACGTACCGGGAGCTTGCTGGGCAGACTTCTCCAGCACGGTCAGGCTGGCGGCGCTGCTGGCCAAGAGGCCGTTCAGGACGGCTTTGGGCTTCCTCCCTCTCCTCTTTCCTATGTAAATCGTTCCTTTCTTGCTGACGTTGATTTGCTGGCCCAGCTTCGAGCCGAACGTGGCGGCGAGAGTCGACACCGTGTTGTGGAGCTTGGATTGCATCTTCCCTTTGGTATTTGGTTCCACTGTACTGGACAGGATCTGATTCAGGAGTTTCTTTCGCTTCAGAGTTTTCATTTTATTTATTTTTCGAATAATTGTTTTCATTAACTGTCCGTTATTTCTCTTGGCAACTTTTCTGTCTGAGTCTACTTCCAAATCACTCATGCTGCAAATACTGGGGCTTTGGACCTCTTCAGGCCCTCGGAGCTGGTCCTTTCTCTCAAAGAACTCCCCAGGTCGATGCTGCTCACTTTCAGGCCCCATCTTGCTCGAGTTCTCTGTTCCAACAAAAGGTGCCACGGACAGAATAGGTGGTTTCGTTTTAATTGATGACCTGATCTGTCTTTTAGGTCTCCCTCTCTTTTTAGGAAAAGGTTGTCCCGATAAGCTCTGCTTCAGGGAGGGAATTTCAACCTCAGGCTGCAAAATGGGAGGCTCTTGCTCTTCTTTCGACTGCACTGAGAAGACTTTTGAGGCCGGAATCTTTAGAGTCCTTTTGGGGGGACCTTCGAGCTCTGGCATCTCCTTGGGTTTAGATCTTCCTCTTTTGGGTTTGTACATGTCAGGCAAGAAATCATCCGCCATACACAAGCTCGAGGGTTGTTTGTGGGCGCTGTAGAACTTCTGGGTTGGTTTGTCAGTCTCAGCCAGCAGTGCCAGGGACTGGCCACTGGCTTCGTTCAGCTTCGGCAGCTGGTGCTTGACGAACTCGTGCTCCACGAACGAGGACGACCCGATGTTCTTCAGGAACTTGGCCTGCTCCAAATTGCTGCTCGACAGTGCACTGTAGGAGATGTTCTTGAAAAGCTCCGACCTTTCCAGCTCCAGACCCTTCGGAGGTCGACACGTGTTCCTCGACACCACTTTAGTCCATCGGGGCTTCCTTCCTTTTCTCTTCTTCAGAGGCTTCGACTGCTGAGTGCTGCTCAGGTTCTTCGCTCCTTGGCAGGATTTATCGGATGCAGCGATCGCCCCGATCTTCAGGAACTGCTTGCTGCTGAACAAGCTGGTAAAACTGACCACGGAAGGAGTGACAGTGGCGTGGATGCTCGTTTCAGCTGCCAGAATGGGCTTTTTCCCCGTGGAAGGACTGGTTCTGGAAGTCTCCACGTAAGAAGCCTTTGAATCGCTCAAATCTTTGTCAGCACCTTTGAAATCGGCGCCGAGGGGGTGGTTCAGGGTCCTGCTCAGCCCCAGGATGCTGTCAGAGGAAAAGGGAGTCTTGCCCACGGGATCAGAGATGCCTTCCAGGAGCTCTGCCGTGGAGCTTAAGTGCAATGAGTTGGATGGCAGCTGGGAGGAGGATGCTGAGAGGCTCCTGCTCAGGGTGGGGACAGACACGGTGGGGGAAGGGGAGGGGAGATTCCCCTCTCCCACTGCACTGAACGGGGACTTGGCTGTCGACACCTCCGAGGCACCTCCTGTCCTGAAGTCTGGTGAAGTGCAATACACTGGGGGCTGCTTCTCGTGCTTGGATGCTTCGTAACCCCCCTTCTCGCTGGAGGAGAAGGCATCCTGGGGAACACACATCCCCTCGTTGAACATCTCCTTGCCCACCTCGGCGATCTCCTTCCGAATGGAAAACTTCTCCAGGATGCTCTCCTTGTTCTGCCTCACGACGTGCTTCTCGAAGGGTTTGCTGGTAGGGTTTTCCTTCAGTAAATCCGCGGGCTCGTGGCCTTCCAGGTTGCTGAGGTTGGAATTGCAAGGAAGCTTAAAGGGCTCCGAGGTGGGTGTGAGGGAATCTGCCTTCAGCGTCCCAGAGTCCTTGTTGGCCAAACCAGCCGGGCTGCCAATCCCTGCCGGCTTCTTCCCACACTCCTTGCTAACCAATCCCACTGGACTGCTAATTCCTGGCATCTTCCTCCCAGAGTCCTTGCTAACTGGTCCCACCGGGCTGCCAATCCCCGGCGTCTTCCTTCCAGAGTCTTTGTTACTCAGAACCGTCGCGTTCCCGGTCCCCGGCATCTTCCTCCCAGAATCCTTGCTGAGCAGACCTGCAGGACTATTTACCCCCAACAGCTTCTTCCCAGCGTCCTTGTTAACCAGCCCTGCTGGAGTGCTGATCCCTACTGGCTTCTTGAGAGGTTCCTTGGTAGTCAATCCAGCTGGAGTGCTGATCCCCGGAAGTTTCCTCCCCACATCTTTGCTGATCAATCCAACTGCAGAGCTGGTCACCGGCTGCTTCTTCCCAGAGTCCTTGTGCACCATCCCGGGGGGAGAGCTGATCCCTGGGGGCCTCTTGCCAGAGTCCTTGCTCACCAATCCAATCAAGGGGCCGATCCCTTGGGGCTTCTTCCCAGAGTCTTTGTTCACCAGTATGGCTGTGCTGCCAATCCCCAATGGCTTCTTCCCTGAGTCCTTGTTCACCAGCCCCACGGCGATCCCAGAGCCCGGCAGCTTCTTCACCAAATCCTTACCAACCATCCCACTGGGACTGATGGTTCCTGGCGGCTTCTTCCCAGAGTCTTTCACCAAACCGGACGCGTTTCCGTTCCCGGGCTTCTTCTGCTTTGTTTTGGAAGACTTGGAGGGAGGACAGGTTGCAATGAGCTGAGCCAGCTTCTCTGTGACAGTTGTTGCTCCGTTGATTTCTGTTCTGTCCTTCAAATCGGAATTATGGCTGCTGATCAGGGTGGGAGGAGATGACTTCATGTAATCCGTCATTTCTGAGTGCAACGGGGAAACTTTCTTGGATAAAGGGGTTGTTTCTACTTGGACACCTTCTTCTGCGTGTAACTCAACCGGTGCCACTTCTCCAGCTTTCTTGTAGGACTTTGAAGGGTCCTAGGAGTCAAAAGAACAACAAAAAAGTCTTTAGGAACAGAGCACAAAGTATCTCTCTGAGTAACACGGTATCTTTTGATGTTGAGATGATTAATACCTGCTCCAGTAACAGGGTAACTGTATGAGCACAGCTTCACCAACCTATCAATTTAAATAAAATTAGTAATAATAGATCCAATAATAAAATATTGTAAATATTACAATAGATGGATTATGTAAATATTGGCAATATTAATAAATTACTAATACTTAAAGCAAAATTTTAAACCAGTAGACACATTGAAGCTTTTCTGACTTTAACGAAACCCAAACTCACTGCCAGCCCCAAAATACAACCCATTTATTCTGCCCCCCCAATTATAAACATTCTCCAAAAATACTGTTGCTGTTTGTTAATAAAACCCCACTGACAACAATGCACTGGGCTATTTATAGTGTGAGAGCACTTGAGGAGCTCACATGGTGCTGAGCAGCAGCTGAGCAGGGCCGTGTCCCAGGACACCCCCAGCTCCTGCAGCAACAGCTTCTCCTCCCAGCAGACCACTGACAGCCAGAAAAATAAGGGAAGTGAAATAAAACAAGTCAAATCAGTCTCCTGTTTGCACAGGGACACACGTGGAGCAGCTCAAACCCGCAGTTATTCCCAGTTCTGACCTAAACAAATCTGAAATTTATTTATTCTGTACAAATTGCACACCCGTCACCTTCCCAAAGCCCGCTGGGAACACCCCAATAAATGGATGTTCCATTTTGGAAGGGCAGTCTGCACACACAGCACCCAACACACCCCTGCAGGGCAGGGGAGTCTCTCAGGAGTGGAAGGCTCTGAGCTCAGAGGAGGAAGTTCTGATCCAGTTCTGCTGCCCCCAACACAAGAAGGACATGGAACTGCTGGAGCAGATCCAGAGGAGCCAATAAGGGAACTGGAGCCCCTCCCCTATGGATGGAGACTGGGAAAGCTGGGACTGTTCAGCCTGGAGAAGAGAAGGTTGTGTGGAGATCTCACAGCACCTTCCAGGGTCTGAAGGGGCTCCAGGGAAGCTGGACAAGGACTCTTCCTCAGGAACTGGGGTGACAGCACAAGGGGAATGGGCACAAACTGAGAGAGGGGGAATTTACGTTGGATATTAAGGAAGAAATCCTTCCCTGTGAGGGTGGTGAGGCCCTGGCACAGGTTATTCCATGGATGCCCCATCCCTGGGAGTGTCCAAGGTCAGGCTGGACAGGACTTGGAACAACCTGGGATAGTGGAAGGTGTCCCTGGTGGAACTGGATGAGCTTTCTNGTGGAACTGGATGAGCTTTATAATCCCTTCCAACCCAACCCACTCCCTGATTCCGGGATTCCAACCACAAACACACACAAACTGAAAACCTCCTGGCACCCACCACCTCCAGCTCTGGGAATCCCTGGGATGCAGAGTCACTGAACAGCACTGGAACAGTGCTGGGCAACCTTCAGAGAGTTACACCCCTTTCCCATGGCCTGAGATCCTGAAAAGAACTTTGGAAGGAAACTTTAACCTTCTCTGTTCAGTGGATTGAAAAATTCACCTCAATGTGTCCTTGGGAATTGAACTCCTCAGCCCTGTGTCTGCTGAGTATCCACAATATTCCCTCTTCCTTTGATTCCTCTGTGTGCTCTGCTACCCCTCAGCCAGGGTCTGTGGTGCCCTCACAGTGCCTCTGCTTTTCCCAATCCACCTCCATCTCCAAACAAAGAGCTTGGAAGTTTGAGCAGATATTTAAATAATAAACACATAACTAAGCAAACCCTTCCAAACACCAGCTTTGATCTGAGCAAGTTGCCAGGATTCTGAGAACGTGGCTTTAGCATCAAACAGGGAGCCTCTGAAAGCTGAAGGCAAGTGCCCTGGAGAGCTCCTTTCTCATCTGAGGGTGAGGGAAATCTCCAAGCACAGTGAAAATGATTTCAAAGAACACGGAAAAACAAAACGAGAAACGTCTGGTGAGATGTCAGAAAGGAGCCAAAAAAGTTCACAGCTCTTTTTCAGCATTTTGAAAGGCAAAATTCTTATATGGGAAATTTTTTTCATGTTGTTTTTTTTTTGGCCATAAATCCACTTAACAATCAGTGGGATTAACAGGAACGTTTTGGGGGGGAATTTTTAAGGAAAAAAATTCCTCTGGTAACTTCCAGAAGAGACACCTTGAACAAAGCATGAAACCTTTGGAGAGGGTTGCAGTGGCTGCAAAACCACTAAAAAACTCCAACATAACTCACAAAGTTTGTTCTTGCAATTCTATATTATTAAAAAAATTCAGATTTTTGGTTAAAGTGAATGGGAAGTATTGCTGTCACTGAGGAGTATCCCACAGGATATTCCTGTGGGATAGAGACTGAGCTCTCCCTCAGTCCATGGATCCCTGATATCTGAGCTCTCCCGCAGTCCCTGGGATCCCTAGGCCCAGATCCCAGTTTTCTCTCAGTCCCTGGGATCCCTGGGTCCCAGATCCCAGTTCTCCCTTGATCCTTGGCTCCCTGATCCAAGCTCTCCCTGGGACCCCTGGCTCCCTGATCCAAGTTCTCCCTGAGTCCCTGGGATCACTGATCCAAGCTCTCCCTGGGATCCCTGGGATCACTGATCCAAGCTCTCCCTGGGATCCCTGGGATCACTGATCCAAGTTCTCCCTGGGATCCCTGGAATCACTGATCCAAGTTCTCCCTGGGATTCCTGGCTTCCTGATCCAAGCTCTCCCTCAGTCCCTGGGATCCCTGGGATCACTGATCCAAGCTCTCCCTCAGTCCCTGGGATCCCTGATCCAAGCTCTCCCTCAGTCCCTGGGATCCCTGGCTCCCTGATCCAAGCTCTCCCTCAGTCCTGGGATCCCTGGCTCCCTGATCCAAGCTCTCCCTCAGTCCTGGGATCCCTGGCTCCCTGATCCAAGCTCTCCCTCAGGGATTTTTGGGGTCAGGTTGCCCCCAGTGCCGGGGCAGAGCTGTGCTGTCACAGCCTGTGGCCACAGGCACACCCTGTCCCTCAGCCCAGCTCTCCTGGGGCAGCTCCAATCTATGGAAATGCTCAGGAATTCCCCCTGGAATACCCTCCAACCCAGGCCTGTCCCAGTGCAGCAGGGGCAGGAAAGGTGCCCTCTCCCCTGGGATAACTCCTGGTGCCCACACAGGCACTCCGTGAGGTGGGAAGGACAGACCTGAAGCCCAAACCAGGTGAAAATGCCACAAAAAAATGGCCTAAAACAGTTTTCCTGGAATTCTGTGCCTCGTTAGCCCAGATTTCCAGCCCTGCTCCAGGTTCCTCCGGTTTCAGATGGAATGAAATGGTTCATCTGGGGGCAAAGCTGTTCAAAAGGGTGAGATAACACTACACCAAAAAGCACTTTGTGCTTTAAAAAATAATCTGTTCCTGTGCCACCTTCAGTTCAACTGTCTGGCTTAAAAGCCTTGCCCAAAACAACTGCACAAAACCTGGAAGTTTCCATCAGACTGGTATTATTCTAAATTTGGGACTGAGCTGAACTGAAAATTCCAACTCTCCCGTGTGGACACACGGTTTCTAGACCTGCACCACTCCTTTCAGGAATAAAAATTCCAGGTAGTTTTGATGTGAACTGTTAATGAGTTACAATCCATCACTGGTGGCCTTGGCAGCGCTGGGAGAACAGTTGGACTTGCTGGTCTTAAAGCCCCTTTCCAACTCGAATGATTCTGTGATTCCAGAGCCACCACAGGCCCCAACAGCAAAAAAAAAGACTTTATTCTTAAAAAAGCAGCTGTTGTTAGAGCACAATCCCGGGGTTTATTATTACTAGATCATTATTTACTGTGATGATGATTGGTACTTGGGTGCAAAAGGCTGAGGAGCAAATGATCCTTCCCAGGAGCAGGGCTGTCTCCTCTCCAGCCTGCTGTCAAACTCACACTTCTCACCCTAAAACCAAGCTGCAAACCCCGAGATCCTCTCGGTTTCCACCCTCTGGAACAGCCAGAAAGGAACCAGCTTGTTCATGAAACTGCAATAAAGGGGTTTTTATGTGCACACACAGATCTCCCCATCGTTGTCTGAGCTGCTGCACTTCAGGCCAGTGTTTGGGCCACAATTCCAACGAGCTTGCTGAGGAATCACAGGAACTGTGGCATCAATATATCCCACAGAATTCCCCAAATAAGTGTCTCCTGTTTGTTTTTCACCTCCCAGACTTTGCAGGCTTTTCTAAGAGCAAGTTTGAACGAAGGACCAGGGAAAAAAAAGACAAACTTATGTCCCAGATGCTGCAGGAAATATTCTCAAGCTACTAAAAAAAGAAATCACTCCTTTAGCTTTGTTACCTCTGAGTGGTTGTGATTTCATCAGCAAACTTCCCTGCACGACCCAGGGCAAGAGAGAGAGCTCCAGAATCCTGCACTCAGCAGTTTTCACCCAGAAATAAGGAGCTGGAGCAGGAGGGCGAGTCCCAACCTGCTGCCCCGTGTTACTACTCTGAGTTAGAGTTACACAGGCTGCTACTATCACCTCTTCCTGTTTGCTACACCTTCACCACTGCCCCTCTGCCATGGCCCTGCCTACACCCACCCTCCAGCACGGGGAAAACATGGGTTTGCCCCCTAACAGGGCCAAAAATGTGGATTTATGTGCATTTATGTTCAAGGCTCAGGCTTCTGGGCTTAATGTCTGCCTGCTACGGGACACCTCCTGAAAGGAGGAAATCCCAGTTCCACACTCAGTGTCAAAAAAGCAAATTAAATAGTGCTTGGCTCTTGCAGCACCCCCTAACTTTGTTCCTCTTCACATCTGAGAATCTCAGACTTTTTTAAGTCTCCCCTTTCTGTGATTTTCTCCACACACACACAAAAAATATTCATTAACTTGTATGTCCACACGTTTCTGGAGGACAAAGTGTAGATGCACAGGGAAAAACCCCCTCACTGAAAGGGTGGTTGGGCAGTGGGACAGGGAGAGGAGGAATCCCCAGCCCTGAGGGAGGTGGCACTTGGGGACAGGGTTCAGTTGGGAACAGAAGGGCTGCACTCCATGATCCCAGAGGGCTTTTCCAACCTGGGAGATTCTGGGATTCCAAGTGACTCCCCTCACTCACAGCAAGCAGCCAAACCCTCTATTTTTATAACACTCCCCAAGTTTCAGCAGCCCTGTCAGCACCAAGCTTGAGAAAGAGCCTGTCAGACGTGGAAGTGCAAAGGATTTTCCTCCTGGTTTAATTTCTGCACTGGTATTCCCAGGAGAGGAATTCCACTGCTCCTCTTTGTGTCTCAGAGCTTCACTGAGTGCACAGCAAGGGCTACATTTTCATTCCAATCCATTATTCCTCCTCCAAAAGAAGGGAAAGTTCAGTGTCAGAGCTCCAGGTGAGGCCACACCTGGCTCTGAGCTGGTCATTCATTTGCTTTCCCCTCCTCTCCATCGAAAGCAGAGATTTAGGGATCACTTCCCTCTGCTGAAGGGTAATTTTCAGAGCTAAAACTTGCTTTATTTCGTGGTAACAAGACAAAAAAACATCCCTGGGGCATTATATTCAAAACAGGAATATTTTAAGCCATGGTTCCCATTTATTTCCACACAGACACTTCCAGTCCCTTTTCAGGAATCAGCAGGACACTGTTTGGTGTCATTTCTAACAACCCATGGTGGTATCAATGGTGTCACACATCAATAATATCACTAATGGATTATAATATATATTATATGTGATATATTATTATATCAGAATACATAACTATATTGTATAATATAACACAATATATGTGGCTATACATATAATCGATGAATTATAATGTATAATACTATATTGTATATGTTATTATATATGCAAAATACATATATACATTTATATGTATAAAATACATATAGTACTTATTTTATATTATAATAAAATACGAGATATATCTTATTTTTATATATATAAAATATAACCAGAGATCCTGATTTTAATATAGTAACTATTAAAATACATATAGCTTATTTTATATTATATGATAGCAAATACATATATTTATTTTATATATATATATAAAATACACACATATATAAAATACATATATACATATTATGTATATATAAAATATATACATACATATATATAATATCACTAATATTTGCTTCCCTTTCTGATTTCCACTTGGAATGGGATGGATCTCCTGAAGGAAAACCTGGTACATAAACAAAGATGTCGAGGGGGAAGAATCCCTCCTGTCCCCATCCAAATCCAAATCTTGATTATTTTCCCTGGTAAAAACTCTCCTGATGCAATGGGAAAGTCTCCAGATGCAAAGGTGCTCTTAGCTGGGAGAACCAGAGGATCCTGGAATATCCTGAGCTGGAAGGGACCCACAAGGATCATCCAGTCCAACACCCCAACACCCGACCCTCCCCTGACTAATTCACCCTAAACCTGCCCTGAGGAAGGGATTTGCAGCTGCAAGTGCCACCTGAATCCTGGCATCAAGAGGAATCACTGGCTGGATATTCCAGGCTGGCCAAACACTCAACTCACCTCAACAGGGCCTTGCTGGACCAAAAAAAAAAAAAGAAGGAAAAAAAAAAGCCATCAGTATAATGACAAGTTGGGGTCTGCTCTTACAGCGTTTTTCAAGAGGAAGTCAGAAAAATTCTCAGGAATAATGAGCTTGTTCTGAGCTGGGAGAATGTGAAATAAAGGCCACTGCCAACAGTTTATGTTATGCAACATAAATTCTGAGAATTTCTTGGTCTGCAGGCTGAGGAAAAACCCCTCTGACTCCCCAGGAGGGAAAACCCAACACAACTGCACTGTGGAGTCTGGAAAAAGCCAGTTCAGTCCTTACATCCAGCACACTTGTCTTTTCAGGGCACAGTTTATGCCTTGGAATCCCAGAATCCCAGAATGGGTTGGGCTGAAAGGGACCTTGAGCGCAGGACACAGGTGGGAGAGATGGAAACCCTGCAGCCCTGGGGCCCTGTGGAACAGACATCCCACAGCAAGGAAGGTCTCCAGCTTCCAGGGACTTGGATTCCCCTGCTGAATCACCTGCCAGGGCTACCTAAGGGTACATCCTAACATTGTATTGGCAAAACCTTCATGTGTATTGGCAAAAAGAGCAGGTTGGAGCCCAACACTTCCAAAATTTAGCATCCATGCAACGTTATTTGTAATTCTTGCCATCTATCCCGTTCTCCCTGTCTGCTGTTGCTGCTGTTACTTGTTACATCCTGCAGATCACACAAACAAAAAGGAGGCAGGGCTACCTCCTTCCCTTTGGAAAACCCCTGGCACATCCCTCCAGCCACTCCATTTATAGCCATGGTATCACCAGGCTGGTTTGTAACTCAGCTGGAAAAGTCTCCTTGGCTTTCCAGACCCTGCTCAGGCTGTTTGTGGCAGTGACAGGTGAGAGACAGGAAACCCACTGACTCCAACAGCAAAATAGGAACCCAAACCCCATCCCAACAGAGGTAAGACCCCCAAGGACCTCCACTTTCTTCTATAAAAGAGACTAAAACTCACACCATCACTTGCCAGAGATGTCACTTTAAGTTGACAGGGGGATTGTCTCTCGTTGCTGTTGAAACGACGACGGTGTCGAGCCCTGACCGAGCACTTCCCCCCGTCAACAGCCACGAAACCAAACCATTCCCAACTCCAGAAGCTTCAGGATCAGAGGTCACACGGAACCACACCATGGGGCAGGGATGGTGAAGCTTCCCAACACAGCTCAAAGGCCCCAGGACCTGCCAACCACCCCAGGGCCACCCCACTCACTTGTTTGGGAGGACAGTGCTCGCTCTTCTCATCCGTCATCTTCCCGCCCTTGGGAGCCCTCCTCGGCTGCTTGATGCTGGTTTTTATGGCAGGCCTGCAGACATAATTCTCCAGGTTCTTGGGAGGCTTTTTGGTCCTCTTGGCTTGGAGGCCGATCTTCAGCTTCAGGTTCCCCTCGGAGAAGTTGGTTTCCTTCACGGAGAACTGCTGGGCCTCGCTCAGGGCCTCGCTCTTCCCATTCTCCCCCTCCCGGCCCTTCTTCTTCCCGTCCTCCTCGTCCTTGCTGCAGCCTTCGGGCTCCGCTTCCCCCTTGCCCACCAACGTGCCAAGGTTTGCCACAGAGGGGCTTTTCCCAGAAAACCCTTCAGAATCAGAACCCAAGCCTAACATAGCAGTATTCCGAGGGTCCATCACAGGCGGAATATTTGCCTCCGGGTGATTTTCAGGGAAGATTTTACAGGGATATGTTCCTCAGAGGAGCTGTTCCACTACTGGCAGTCAGCATCTTTCACTCTGCGAGGAGGGAAAAGGCAGACAGAAGTAAACTTTGATTTCCTGGCAGAAATTAAATTAAAGGTTTAAACCAATCAGAAAGCAAACAATTATATTTCAGACGAGCTGATGTTCCAAGACACCAACCCCGCTGGTCACCTACTTCAAAACCACAATTTATCTGTAAAACACTTTTAAATGATAAGTGAAAAATCAAAAGTGCGGGAATATTATAATATAGTTTCCAATTCATCCACAGGACACTTCAAACAACAGTTAAGGACTTTAATATTGATCATCAAAGCAATTTTTCCATTTATAACCAAAGCCCAGCTACTCTTGGTCTGGACCCACTGGATGAGCTGCATCTAAGGAAGGACATGAATGAACCCCATGAGGAAGCATCCAAACACCAGAGATATTCTGATGTTAATCATCTGAGCCACCAGGAAAGTTGAGTTTAACCCATGTGGGCATAGGTTTAAAAACAAGCCACAAACTCCTGAACACACACACAAAGCCTTGGACACTCCCAAGGATCCAGGGGCAGCCACAGCTGCTCTGGGCAGCCTGTGCCTTCCTCACAGGGAAGGATTCCTTCCCAATATCCCACCTAACCCTGCCCTCTGGCAGTTTGCAGCCATTCCCCCCTGTCCTGTCACTCCAAGCCTCTGTAAAAATTCCCTCTTCTTTCCTGCAGGCTCCCTTCAGGTCCTGGAAGGATATTTTTTTTAGGGACATTCAAAGCAGAAAGTGTTTAAATATCTTCAGCATTTAAATACCTTAATCATTTTTAAGTGAAATAGGTCAGAAACAGGTCTGATGTGCTGAAAAGTGCATCCCAGGCACCAAACCAGCCTGGCTTCTGTCCTCACCCTCCAACAGTCACTGAGGCTCAGCTGTGAGCAGTGAGATTTCAAGGGTTTCAATCAACTCCAAAATGGGTTTCACAGAAAGGTCTCAAGGAGCTCAGCCCTCCTGGCCAGACAGGGATTAGGGAAGCAGCTGGAGGAGGTGGATTTGGGGTGGCTCTGGAGCACAAGGGGAAGGATCAGGAGTGTGAAAGGTGATCCTGGAGAGCACCAAGGCAACTGCAGTGGGCTCAGGTTGGGAGAACAGCTGCCAGGATTAGTGGGGGCACAAGAAAAGCTGCTGAGAACACCCAAGGCAACCTGCTGGAAAACCAGGCTGCCCCAAAACAAACTCCTTTCCACGTGTTCTGGGCTCATTATCCACATGGTTTCCATCTGCAGCTTGGGCTTCTCAACTGAGCACGTCCTCAGCAGTCAAACCCACTGTTATTGCTTGTAAGACCAGAGGTAATGAGATAAAATCTCTGTTTTACAAGTAGAAAAACATTGGGAGAACAGTGTGACGTGGATATAGAAGGTGAGTGAGTGGCACTGCTCAGATCAAGGCCCAATGTCCAGTCCAAGAGGCTTCACCACGTCACCAAAAATGGGTTTTTTCACACATGCTGATGCCCAGCAGTAAAATAACCCTGAGCTAGTGCCTGAATTTGTATTATTCGAGTCCAAGAGAAGGGACAATCCTTCATGGAACTGTCAAACCCATGTTCACACAGCTGTTTCCTTCTCCAGAGACCGTGGTGCAGAGCAGCAACAACACTTCAGTCATTTTCTTACAAATAAAATTAATTAATAAGCTTAAAATATGAAACCAACAGCAAGATTACACTCATGCACTGACCCCAGGAACTGCAAGGCCCGAAGTGCACGGTGGGAATTAAAGCAGAACTGTGCTCACATCTCACTCTGTGGCAACACAGGACCAGGGACCATCCCAGAAACAAAGTCACCAAATTGATGGCTCCCAGAAACACAGAGCAGGTCATTTATTTATCCATTAATTGCTCTCCACACAGACCACAAAACTGCTAATCCTGGCCCTAATCACCATTTTGCCTGGATCACTGCAATCTCCTTCTCCCACTCCTCAGTTCCCCCAGGAATTCACAGAACAGTGTCTGTCTCTCAGGTCTCACTCCCTGGATCCCAGGGATGCTGGATCTCAGGGATGCTGCTTCTTTCCTGCCTCAGCAAGTTCCAGCCCCCTGGCCCTGCCTCCAACGTCTTCAGGGCTGTGTTTTGGTTCTCCCCTTGCTCCTGTTCCCCACTGACACCACTGGCTGTGTTCTTGTCTCACTTTCTCTGTGTCACTCCTCACATTCCTCATGCCTGGCTCTCCCCATCCTGCAGGATCTGTTCCACTCTTCCTGCATGATCCCTTCCACTCCTGCAGGATCCCTTCCACTCCTCCTGCAGGATCCTTTTCACTCCTGCAGGATCCCTTCCACTCCTGTAGGATCCCTTCCACTCCTCCTGCAGGATCCCTTCCACTCCTCCTGCAGGATCCCTTCCACTCCTCCTGCAG